CAATTTAATGGACTTCACTGCAGTTGCGAAGGGCTACCCCGCCAGCCCCATTAGCACCATATAATCTTCAGCATTTCAATATTAAACATGTTTTCCTTGATACCACTATGCACCGAGTCAGTAATCCCACATGTTTTGGAACTCGAGGTCCTTATCAAAATGTTGACACCGGTTTATTTTTATTTTCCAAAAGTTTAACCCTTTAAAGATGTATCCTTTAAGACTTTCATCCTGTGAAAAATCCGTACAAGATGACAATACTATATATTACGGAGAAATTCTTGACATAGGGAGTATCCCTCTCTCTCTCTCTCTCTAATAATAATAATAATAATAAATAATAATAAATAGCATTTGTATGAGGCATATCCCCGCTCAACAGCAGGCTCTATGTGCTTTACACTATATATATACATAGTTGTATATACATAAAAATATATCTTTCTCTCTTTCTCTCTCTCCCTCCCCCCTCGCTCTCTCTCTCTCTCTCTCTCTCTCTCCCTCCCTCTCTCTCTCTCTCTCTCTCTCTCTCTCTCTCTCTCTCTCTCTCTCTCTCTCCCTCCCTCTCGCTAAAAAAGAACACAGCAGTTTGCTAGATGAACAGGCCGCAAGATAAGAAATAGGGTATACCGTGGTCCTTAGTATGTACATTGAATATCATGCGGATGCACCCTGCATTTCCTGTTTTCACATGTCCTGATTTCGTTCCAAATATTGGTGTAACTTATGAGTAGCAGGTGTAAAAGGTATTAGTTATTGCTAGGTTGTTCAGCGACAAACCAACCGAAAGATTGTTTATTATATTATTTAGTAGAGGTTTTACGGCGCTTGCTTGGAAATAAATGACCTTCATTGTTTTTGATTGTATACTTTTGAGGATTACACTAGTGATGCTAATGATGATGATTGGTGACTGAAAACTACTCAATACTCTCCTTTCTTACTTTGATTTTTCTACGACGTTACTAACGACGACGACGACGACGACGACGACGATGATGATGATGATGATGATGATGATGAGGATGAGGATGAGGATGAGGATGATGATGGTGATGATGAGGATGATGATGAGGATGATGATGATGATGATGATGATGATGAGGATGAGGATGATGAGGAGGAGGATGATGATGATGATGATGATGATGCTGATGATGATGATGATGATGATGATGATGATGATGATGATGACATCATCATTACCATGCATCCTGCATTCCATATTCTAGATTGTCTATTTTGTATTGAACCACAAACATAATAGATAAAAACGAAGAATCCTTCAGACAACAGACACAAAGCGGCAGGACATCACGAACACGTACGAATCGATAGCAGGTTTTGCAACCTTGAATCCATACCTCGTCACCCCCCCCCCCCCCCCCACCCCAACCCTCTGCCTGCATCTTCCTCAGAGCACACTTCAAACAGATATGTGAACCATCATGGTAAAATCAGGCGTTTGTCAAATTAATAAAATCGAAGAATCTGGCATTCATCCACTGGTTTGGCAATTTTTATCGAATGTTTGTTTTTTGGCTCCACACCTACGTATTTCTGAGTGGATGCTTATTTTTTAAAAGTTGGTTAAGGGCACAAAGAAAACATGCACATTTCCACTATCCATTGACTCTCAAGCTTTGCACACCACCAAACTTTGGCGGCCCTTTTCTCGCTAATTTTACCTCTGAAACCAGGTGACCTCCATCTCCTTCAATCGCAAATATCTTGACTTCTATTCACAATTGAATTAATATCTTTTCATCGAAAGCAAGACAAATGAACAAGCTTTAGAATGATACAAATATCTTCACATGCCCAATATGCGGACGAGCGCCTGCTTCCAGAGCGTCGTTACACATGATATTATAGATCTATTTCGCCTTCAGCAAACAATTCGTAATCAACCTCAAACCTCTGTTTGCTTCAATCAGGAACAAATCATTTATAATTCATCCTTGGTCACAGAAACTGATAGCTCATTAAATAATTTGCTAACGCCTTATTACTTAATCTTTGGGTTTAATGACCGGGCTGAACCATGAGAATGCAAATATTATGGGAAGAGTGCATAAGACCCCAATCTGACACAAAAGGACTAAGAACGGAATTTAAATAAAACAGAAATAATTTGAGTGTAATGGTATTGGCCTATATTTGCCTATATTTGCTTGTGCACGTAGCAGCAGCAGTAGCAGCAGCAGCAGCAATAGTAATAGTAGTAGTAGTAGTAGTAGTAGT